ACCTCGAAGCGCTGCTCGCCGGGGCCTTGGCTCTATTTTCCCCCGCCGCCACTTGTACGCGAGAGAAATCGAGTGCCGTAGGGAGGGAAAGCAAACAGAAAGCAGAAGCCAGCGGGAGGACCCTGGGAATTCCTTTTGAGCGTTTTCCTTTTCAGGATGCTATCGCACAGTCGTAGCGGACGCCAAAGGAAGGGAGGAGGGAACCTGTGCTGGAAAATCTGGTCCGTCTGTTGCGTTACGCTGCTGTTTTTTTTCCTTGGTTTTTTGGGGCGGGGGCCGAGGGGCCGGCGGCACTGCACGAATGACATTGCTAGTAAGTGATATAACGGCGGCGGGTATTTTTGGTTTTCGTAATTGCCCACTGATGTACGGTCACAAATCACATTTTCAAGCCGACACGTTCCCTTTCATGTCTGCCTCGCGACGTTTCTTTATAATTCCACGGCATAAGCGCGCAATTTACATGCGTCCGAAGTTTCATATTTACATAAAAATAAGAGCTCATCCTACATTTGATCACCCGACTATTTATCTGCATATGTCTCGCAGACACGCTCCTTCGACTGGAAAATTATCCAATTCACATGTAAAAAAAAAAAACTAAAAAAAAACTAAAAAAAAAAACAAAAAAAACGAAAGAAAAGAAACAAAATTAAAAATCCAATTATTATCCGTTCAAACGATATTGGAGCCTCCTCGAAAGAAAATGCAACCAAACACTTTTAATTAGCCTTGTCGATACTCTAACTCGAAATCAACAATTAACTAACGATCTGTCCCGTTATCCCAGCGATAATTACACATCCCACATTTGATAAATTTTCATTGGTCATGCGCAGCCGATGCCAAGATCAGCATTGTCAGCGCCACTCGCGGTATATTCGTCTCCTCCTCCTCCTCCCCTCTCTATCACGCCCCCACCCCACTAATTATACCACTAGCCCATAAAGCCTATTAAGATTTGTATTAACACGATCGAACGTATATTGTTATTGTATATTGCAGGGTACCATTACCATACGGACACGCATCCTCGATGATCCCGATGAGGAGGCAGAGCATACGTTGTCATTTCCGCAAGGGCATCGATTGGTGCAGCTGGAAGCTTATTGCGATTGTCGTCATAATGGTCGCACTCTGCTTAGTTGCAGCGCTTACATACGTAGCAGGTAAATAGCCTCACGCTAAAGAAAGTCGCTAGCGCATTCTTAACAATAGCAATTCGCACGCGCACTTGAGCCATTATTAACTTAATGGCCACTCGGCGGCCAATGTCACTTTCTTCGCTCGTTCAGCAAAGCTCTTTACGGCGCGTAATGCCGAGCTTATTATGAAATGCAAAGGGCCGGGCTACCGAGTGGCATGAACATTGAGTTTCGAAAATTCTCGAGCCCTTTAAATAATGGCGAGCTCGATTATTATTATGATTAACGGCACCGAGCCATACAAACACTGCACTTTAAACTCTCCTCATTCCTTCGCATTGCGTTTCAGCATCGAACATGGTGAACTGGTACCAGGGCACAAAAGCTTGTACCGTACTGGTGGGCGACGGCGCGGACGGCAAGACCTCCCAGGACACCGCGAAGAACAGCACCGCGTCGTCGCCATCGAGCTCGGCGAGCTCGGGTGGCAAGCGCCAGCAGTCCAATTCTGGAGGTAACTTAGCCAGCGCCGCTTTATCGCGTAAACGTAGGGACGCGCAAGGGCATGATGACGATTTTAATGATTCTTTGGAGTTGCATGATGGCATAACTTTGGTGGCGATGTTGCACGGGAGGACGGAGGAAATGATCGTCGATGTGGAAACGACCATTTCCTCGTCGGACACTAACTCGCGCTCCACTATTTTCAATAACAATAATATTAATATTAATAGTAATGGTAATAGTAATGGTAATGGTAGCAGTAATAGTAATAAGAATAACAACAGCGACTACGACAACGACAACGACAACGACAACGACAAGGACAACGACAACGACAACGACTATGATAGTAACGATAATAAATCGTCGTCGTCAGCGTCCGTCTTATCGGTTGACGACGATGACATTGGCGCTACTGTCGACTCTTTTCTTGATCGCGCGACTTTCGATTCGGACACGAGTACCACTATCGCTACTACTTTATCTTCCGATGATCTCGAAATTTCAATTATGGATTATCACAAGAATGACGACGCTTTTCATACAACGATACGTAACAATGTTGATGTTACAACGGATATCATTGGCGGCGTAGTCAGCGGTGGGGATCTTGAGAGATCGAGCGAAAGTAGCGATGAGGAGACCATCGAATCGATTGTCGCAACTTCCACGATTGACTATACATTAATTACGGAATTGCGCTCGTATACCGACGTTTCGGCAAACGATAAGGATTTAGCCGAAGGTCGGACATATTTGCAAGCTACCGAAGCGCCGGATAAGATCACCACGACGATCCCACTGGAAGATTTAACGGAGAACGGTGAGCGCACTCTCCACGAGGAGAAAAATCCCATTACCGACACTACGACCATGGCAAACGAAGTCAAGAGTGGTGACAACGACGACAAAATCGATAGGACCTTGTCGTTTACGAAGGAAATTGATCGTGAAGTTATCCTCGCGGACGAGGCTGTGGCTCGTTCATCCGACGAGTTGCAAAGCGACTTTCCCGGTCCGTTCAATTTTTACGCTGCTGATGGCTTAGAGATCGTGAAACTCGTTAGCCAAGTGACAACGTCCGATCCATTAAAGTATGCCAAAACTAAGGATGCCTCATATTCCTATAATGAGATCAAATTTGATTTCGAAGACAATAGCTCGTACGAGGACGACGAGAGGGAGCTTAAGGAGCTCATGAAGAGGCCCGACAAGCGTGAATTCTTTCGTAAATTCGACGAGAAATTTCGCGTTATTAACAATGACAATTCCAAAACCAAGATTATTAGCAGACCCATCGAGGTACCTGAGAATGACTTGCGCTACCTGACCAATTCCATAAGCGATATCGTACGCCAATCAAATCGCAGCAACGCATTAGAAGCCGCACCTCGCGGCATTCCCAATCCCAAAGATAATGTCAACGTCTTCGATCGATTGGATAATCGCACACCAACGACGACCACGACCACGACCTTCGCCACCACCGTCAACGCTACCGGTCATCCGCCCAATTATTCGCCGTACCAAGAGGAAGCCGAAGCGCCCTCGTCGAGTCATCGTATCGACGTGATCGAGGTGCCCCTTCATCATGACGCGAAAATCGAAAACGATCCGGGGACCAGCAGCCCACGAGTCCTGCTTAACGTGACGATAGCCGCGACCGGCGCGGACTCCTCGAGCGCAAAGACCCTCTATACCCTCTCGGTTACACTGCCTACGGACGCTGACGCCTCCTCCATCAACATCAACGTCACGCCAGGCAGCGCCGACAAAGCATCAACGTGTAAAACCGAGGAGGGAGACGGGGCGCGCGACACCGATCCCCGACCCATCGAGACGTCGCTCAAGAGTATCGAGAAGTCGCTCGGCTCGATCGAGAGGACGCTCGGGATCGCCCTCGAAACATCCGAGGACGCTGTCGTCAGGATGCTCAAACCCGTGAAGGGGGCGGTACCGTCGTCGCTGCCGCCTCCCCCGCGACCTCCCGAGCAGCCGCCCTTTTGGGGTGGGGGTGAGTGCGAGTGCTCCTGCCCGTGCATGGAGGCGGTGGCGCCGGTCTCGGCCGAGCCCGGCACTAACGATTTCGCCGATGCTGTCGATCTCTTTGACGAGCCCCTCGTCAATGAGGAGGACACGACTACCCAAGCGGGGACCGCGGGCACGGCGACGTCGCCTAGGGAGGAAGAGGAGGATGAGAAGGGCGACCTCGATACGACGGGCTGCGTGGCTCCGACGACGGCCTTGCCCCCTGAGCCCGTTATTTTGATTCTCGAAGGTGAGAGAGCGACGCAATCGTGATGGGCCGACGACGTCGCCGATCTCTCTAGTGGCATCATCGATGATGATTTTTCGCTCGCGCGAAGGATTACGTTGCGCTGCCACGATGGTTAATCAAGCGGCTCAACGCTATCCTTCCCTAGCCTGAATTATTTTTAATTTCCTTTACGTCACACTGGCGGAGGGAGGTATCGTTTTCTTCCTATCACAGTCTGCGCTGCCATTCACTGGGTATCGCGAAAAGTTCAATGAGTTTTCATCGATAAGGAAGTTTTGCCACGATATTATGATGGCTATTGTTACGCTCGGAGTGAACAACAGTTTGCCATGAAATTCATTTATTCGTTTTATTCTTATAAAGACTTTTTTCTTCTTTTTATATATAAAATCTACTCCAATATATTTACTCTTCTCCCCCTTTGAATTGAATATGCATTTGTTTTTGCTAATTTATCGGACATTATGACGATAAATGTTATTTGCAATGTTTTTAATCTCTTGAGCTATACTTAAACTTTTGACGGGAGTGAAAGAAAACAAAAGAAAAGAACAGAAAAGAAAAAGAAAATGTTACCAGCCCCAAAAGTGCCACGACGTAAATGAAGTGAAAAATTAATTTTGTAATCAGCACGAGGTGTCTATTAGTCACTGCAAGTATACGGAAGAAGACATAATATTTTCATTTTATTCTACGCCAATTAATCGAGCGACGACTAATCTTACTAATAATGCAATTTCACAAATTATCACCAAGCGTTACACTAAAACTACTACCAACTAATGCTTGTAATTAACGCTAAAATTTTATTTTGCTTCGATTTTGTGACGAGACAGAACTCAGTGTGCGAATGATTTAATTCTTATTTATTCTTTATACTTTTAAGTGTAAATTATTTAAGCACAGATGCGAATGATTGCGATTATAGTATGGCCAATGATACATAAATTGTACATAAAGACATAAAATACATGAAAATTCCAGGAGGCATTATAAGAAAAATATCTTCTTTATTGTTCGACGTGTTCGAGTAACTGATCGAACGAGTTATTAAGTGCGATCTTATTGTTCCGGATGCTTGAAAATTGCTTAACGAACCACCTCCCTACAATTCCTTCGTTATTCTTATTCCCTTTTTAGCTCTCATTTATATTTTGAATTTTTTTTTCTCTCCCCTTCGATCACCTTTCTTTTTATCTCCATTTTTCCTTTTCCTGCGCAGATATACATCGATTTGTAAATATGTGTCGCAGTTTAACGTTTCTGAAACTCTAAATGACTCATGGACAAGGAGAGCGATCATATTTCATTAAAGGGAAACAAACTTACATCTTCTGGCTCATTTTAAAATTCTTAAGTTCTGAGAATGTTTTATGTTAGCATTTGGGGTGAGCATTGCTTTCAAAAAAAAAAAAACAAAAAAAAGAATTAAAAAAGAAGATAAAAATAAATGGTCAGTCCGAAACACTTAGAAAGTCGATGAGTAAAGAAGAGTGAAAGCGAGTGAGACTGAGGGTGCGTGTGTCCGTGTGTACGTGTGTGCGGGCGTGGGCGTGGGCGTGAGAGGGAAAGGTCCATAAGCTTATAAGAAAACAAGAGCATAGCTTGATTTTTACTTGTTCGCCTCGCTTGCAACGCAAGCCAACTCGAACGAGCGCCATTAACGCCATAATAATCTTGTCCCGACAGGTGGCAGAACGTTCCCGGCGCGCTCCTTCCCACCGGACGGCACGACTTTCGCACAGGTATCCTTGGGTCAACGCCTCAACAAGGAGATACCGGCTTATAGTTACTGGAACATGCAGTTCTACCAATCGGAGCCGGCCTACGTGAGATTCGACTACAACATACCACGGGGCGCGAGCATCGGTGTTTACGCGCGGAGGAACGCGCTGCCGACTCACACGCAGTACGACCTCCTGGAGGTGCTAAGCGGCTTTAAGGCAAGGACCACCAGAGCCTCGCACGTAAGTAACCCTCATCTTACATCAGGGTAGTGTAATTCAGTATAAGTGTGCAAACGGCCCGTTTCGCGGCGTTTACAAATGCGCGTTGACGGGGTGGCATCGACGGTGCCATCTCCGAACCAACTTCGGTCGCGGAGACAAATATTAATCACTTAATACGTTCATTCGCTCCACAGCAGCCATCGATAAAGAAGGAGGTGACGCACTACATGGAGCCGGGACACTGGTTCCTCTCGCTATACAACGACGACGGAGATCCCCAGGAGGTGAGCTTCATCGCCGTCATCGCCGAGGACATGACGCACAACTGTCCCAACGGTTGCAGCGGTAAGGGCGAGTGCCTCCTTGGTCACTGCCAATGCAATCCGGGCTTCGGCGGTGAGGACTGCAGCGAAAGCGTCTGTCCGGTGCTCTGCAGTCAACGGGGCGAATACATCAACGGCGAGTGCCAGTGCAATCCTGGATGGAAAGGTAATTAATGGAAATTGTCCCATTATCCATTTGCATTGCTTGTAATGTTGGGTAAAGCAACTCCCACTGATCATCAGCTGATTAACTCGGCCTATACGGCCGATTGCCGTAGAGTCGGCTACGGGAGCAATAATAAATGTTCGGTGCGAGAGCGACTCACAGGATGAAAGTGCACTTCTTAACGTATGATCATTCCTCTTTACGATCGCCTTGTGCTCGTACAGGTAAGGAGTGCTCGCTGCGCCACGACGAGTGCGAGGTGCCGGACTGCAACGGACACGGGCACTGCACCAACGGCAAGTGCAACTGCGTCCGCGGTTACAAGGGCAAGTTCTGCGAGGAGGTCGACTGCCCGCACCCGACCTGCTCCGGTCACGGCTTCTGCGCCGAGGGCACCTGCATCTGCAAGAAGGGCTGGAAGGGCACGGACTGCAGCCAGACCGACAAAGAGGCCCTCCAGTGCCTGCCCGGTTGTAGCGGGCACGGGAACTTTGACCTCGAGACGCAGACGTGTCTTTGCGAGCCCATGTGGTCCGGTGATGACTGCTCGAAAGGTGAGTGTCGCCCACTGACCTCGTCGTCGTCGTCATCGTCATCCCTTATTAGAAAAAGAAAGAAAAAGATAAATAATAATCCCCCCGATCGCTACCCAACTAACGACTCGTTCGATACCTACCCAGAGCTCTGCGACAAGGACTGCGGTGCCCACGGACACTGCGTCGACGACGCCTGCGACTGCCTGCCCGGCTGGTCCGGCGAGCTCTGCAATCTCAAACAGTGCGACCCCCGGTGCAACGAGCACGGCCAATGCAAGAACGGCACTTGCCTCTGCGTCACCGGCTGGAACGGCCGACACTGCACCATGGAGGGCTGCCCGAACTCTTGCTCCGGCCACGGCCAGTGCAAGGTCAACGGGGACGCTCAATGGGAATGTAGGTGCTACGACGGCTGGAACGGCAAGGACTGCAGCGTGCACCTGGAGCAGGACTGCGCCGACGGCCGAGACAACGACAAGGGTACGCCAACACCCCCAAATCCTTTAGCGCCCGTTAACCTCGTATCATCGTCCTGCCCCCGCTCACTATACCGCACTATACCTCATTATACCTCGCCCTCGCAATCGCTCCTGGCCCATTGCCACCCCGGCGACCTTAATAAGACGTGCGTTCGCATTGCAGACGGCCTCGTGGACTGCGCCGACCCGGAGTGCTGCTCGAGCAGCGTCTGCCGGAGCAGTCAGCTCTGCGTCTCGGCGCCCAAACCCATCGACATTCTGCTGAGGAAACAGCCGCCCGCGATCACGGCTTCGTTCTTCGAGAGAATGAAATTCTTGATTGACGACGGTAGTCTGCAGAACTATGCCCGTCAAGAGACCTTTAACGAGAGGTAGGCTTTTCCATTTTCCTCCCCGGTACTTTTACAGCTCGCGACTTAACTTAACGGGCTTGTCTCTGGCCAACTTGCCCCTGACATTTTAACATTTCTAAATGATTAATTAAGCTGCATTGCAGTACTACTGCTAAGGGGCATTCGACGTAAGCCAGCGTAGGTGTATGTAAATTGCCAATGGCAATGCTGACGAAATAGTGTCGATGATGACGAAGGGTGCGCGCAGCCACTGAGATCCTATGAACGGAAACGAAAGTGAATAAGCCTTTGAGCAATCGATAATCTTTATGTAAAGACGAAAGAAATATTTCTGCGTTGTTGTGACCTCTGTGACATCACATCCCAAAACTTTTGTTAACATATGTTTTGTATAAAGTACGTGTGCGCGAATGTATGCCCTGCACCACCTTCCCCCTTCAATATTTTCTTCATTACTCCATTTTTCTGTTTTATCCCTAATCGTATGCATTCCTATACATACACCCGTACGCACCCAACCAACCGCCCAGGAAGCGCGCGTGAGTGGGTTGGTGCGTGCGAGCGTGTATGTTGTTATACGCATACGTATGTGAGTATGCGTGTAAGTGCGCATATGCATACATACACGTCGCTGTTCAGTTCTCTAACGTGGACTGTCGTCATGTTATTTCATGTTGGTTATCTCATATTGTACTCCAATCCCATAAGAATCCTATTTTTAATTATAAACAAACAAACAATAGAAAAGAAAAGAAAAAGATATAAACAAAAAAAAAAAAAAAAAATCATTATTTACTTATTTATTTATTTATTTATTATTTTGTTTTTTCGTATAAAATTTCATTACTAAAAGAGACATTTTGTCATTTGTTTCTATCTCTTCATCTCTGACTCGCATCTCAACTATCCTAAAAAACACATCATTCTAACTGGGCTCTGTTTTGTCCATGCTGCTCGATCAGTGTGTTCTGGAATCACTTCAACACAAGGTAAGACTGTAAGCAAAAACAAAACAAAAACAAAAACCAAAAAAAAAAAAACGAAGAGAATGATACTAAGAGCACAGCCTGTTATCCTTTTTTGAGATCTACATTTTGTTTAATTTCATTAGAAAATGAAGTAACCAGACATTTTGATTTTGTATATTTGAACATCCAACCCTCTATGTTTGTTTTCGTTTATATTATTTGAGCAGCTTTTACCTTCTTTTTTTTTATTATTTCATTACCAATGTTTTTCTTGGATTCTCATTGCAAGAAGAGTGACGTATTGTATTGTAGTTTGTGCTACAAAATATAATAGCTTTTATATATATATATATCTATGTTTCAAAATTTGTACACACTTTTCTATGTATTTATGTGTTTTTATGTTCTGCATTTGTGATGTTTATTCCTTGCATTAGTTAATCATCGCGTTTGTGCCTGTCTGTATGCGCGTGTACGTGTTTGTGTGCGTGTTGCGTGTACGTGGTGTGAGAGTGCTCATGTGTGCGCGTGCTTAAAGGCCTGAAAAACCTTTAAAATATCTGTGTCGTATTAGTTGATTAGTGATAACAGATTTTCCATTTTTTTATTTTATTTTCTTTTTTTTTTCTTTCTTTTTTTTCATTTTTTTTTCCTTTTTTTCCCTTTTTCCCCCTTTTTTCTTTCCTTTTTTTTTTCTTTTTTATACAAAACGTTTGCCCTCATACCGCAAAGCCGTACATAGTTGTTTCGTTGCATGGTTCAGTTTTCCTTATAAATCCTACGTTGTGTTCCGTGAATTTTTTTGTTGAGCATCAAAACTATCTTTGTGTTACATCAATTGACGAACGAGACTTTTATTTGTTGAAAAAAGAAAAAAGAAAAAAAAAAGAAAGACAATTGAATCACTCTTAATTAACCTTTATTGACAATTTATTACTTACTCTTTGATAAACGTAATTTATAAAATTTATTAATGATTATTTTTATAAAATAATTTAAATTCTATTAATAAGTTTTAAGCATGCGCAATTAGTATAATTATATAACGTTCTTTATTTCAATGAGAAAAAATAAAAGAAAAATATCTCACAAATTTACAAAATTGGCTATTTGCATATCAATTTTGTAAAAGCACTCACTCTATTAATAATCATTTGGTGATTGAGGAGAAAAAAAATTGTCTAATTAGTGATTTAATTGAACAGTAATATGACGGATATTAAATACGTTATTTTTATTAGAATAACATTAGTATACAATAATATACTGAAACGTTAGTATATACAAAGGCAAACTCATCATTGAATTCAATATCTTGAAGATAAAAAATATTATTGCTAATGTATTGGCCTATTTAAAAAAAATAAATAAATAAATAGATAAATCTATAAACCGAATGAACAGTACAAAAGAGTCAAATTTCTTTACGATAAATTTGGCGAATAAAAACTTATGCGAAGACCTATAAAAATTCATATGCAAATTTCCTACGTAAAGACGGACCATTGAGAGAAGTTTTTAAAGTTGAAATGATTATTAACGATTAATCATGCATCTGATGAATTAATTAAAAAAACGAACGATCCTATTCGTTTCATTATCAAAATTATAATAAATAAATACAATATTTTTAATATAACAAGTTATTTATTAATATGTGAAATATTAGGAAGTAGATTGAGGAAGAACATGAGCGTTTCTCTTTTGCAAAAGGGCTGCTTTATCCGATAGTTGGTAATAATTAGTTTCGGCATACAGTTTTAAAGTTTAAAACTTTTAGGATGAAATTCCATTACCTACTAAACTAACATTTAATATGAATACTTTAAGTTTTGCAATCAATTAATCCACTTCATAATTATTAATTGATTTAATTATTTATATCGTCGACGCTGAAAGAAACACTTAAAACTTCATACAAATTTACGATAGTATTAATTGAGTTATTATATATACATACAAATATTCAAATGGAGGATTTTAGAAATTAATCATTGAATAAAATAATTAGATATAGAATTATGACAATTTCATAATTGTGTTGTTCCCGTTGTGTAGTTGAAGAAATAATAGCTCCATTCCTTCCAATTATTAAATTGAATAAAAGCGATATTTATTTCGATTCAATTATTAATAATAAATAAAAGAACCATTAGAACGAAATATCGTTTTAAATAACTTTTGACGAGATTTAACATCTATTACTAAATAATACTTCTCTCAGTGAAGTCAGCAGAACGAAGAGTATTTTGAAAAATTACCAGTTATTTCTTACGTAGTACATGAATTTATTCTTTTACGTTTTGTTTTCATTTCTCGAATCAGTTCATGCTAAAAGTAATTATTATTCTTACCATTATTATCATAAGTACTACTATTACTACTACTACTACTATCAATTATTATTATTATTATTATTATTATTATTATTATATTTATATTGTTGTTATCATCATCATCCTATTATTTATAAATAATTAATTTTTATTTTATTTTTAAAAAATATTTGTTTATAAATAGAAAATGAGGGGACAAAAAACAATTTTAATTAGTACACACGATATGGAAGAAGCCGATATCCTTGGAGATAGAATTGCGATAATGCATATGGGTCATTTAAAGAGCTATGGAACATCTATGTTTTTAAAAAAATTATTAGGTAAAAATTAATATCTTTCTTATTATTATTATTATTATTATTATTATTATTATTATTATTATTATTATTATTATTATTATTATTATTATTATTATTATTATTATTACACCGAGTAGTTTTTTGTATGAACGTGATTCTACGCACGAAAGCGTAATGCAACGCGGACCCGAATATCTCACGACGAATTTCCCATAGCGAGTTCGCATCAAGTGAAAAATCAACTTTCTCCTTTACCGTACTCTCTTATTATACAATACAACAACGTACAGCCAATGTATCTTATATCCCCATTAGTGAAATGAGGAACTGCCGTTAGCCCTTGAAGGGCAGCGTCATCACACCGACCATAAGTGACGGCACTTTCACCCCGGGCGACGGCCGGGTTATCGTCTCTCTATTTATGGTTATTTCTAAATAATGCATCGTACGGTCAGGCGAGTTGATTATTCATCCGCTTTGGGTAAATTCTGGAGTGGCACTCGGGCCACGGTCAAGCCAAAACCCCCGGTTAATAAAATATTTTACCTCGCTTCCGTAGTCGCTCAGCAGTGGTTCGTGGTCGCGTGGTCACCTCCTTGGGGATGGGCCTGATGGGTGTGCGCGTGAGCACGAGCACACCCCAGGAGGGCTTCACTCTCACGCGCGACGACGGCTGGTTCGACCTCCTGGTGAACGGCGGCGGCGCCGTCACTCTTCAGTTCGGCAGATCACCGTTCAAGCCCCAAAGCCACATCGTCTTCGTGCCCTGGAACGAGGTAAGTCAGGCTTTTCGAAACTTTCCAAATTTTTCCAACCTTTCAATCAACGATAAATAATGGCGCTCAAAACATCCAACCCATAATACAATATTTTGCCGTAATAATAAATTATTCGTTGCTTGTGCAACCGATGAAAATTGCATCGGCACTGCACGTACACCGATAATATGCAATTTCACACGACGCTCGGCTACATTTCGCTCATCGTCAGCAAATACGCCATGTAGCGATAGAGCACCCCGGTCGTCCACTCGAACTCAAATTCAAACTAAAACTAATGCTGACGACGCCCACGCAAAACAGGTCGTAATAATCAACAAAATCGTCATGAGCACGGCGGACGAGAAACCGCCGATCCACGTGATCCATTCGTGCGCGGCTCACGACTACGACCTCATGAAGCCCGTCGTTCTCGCTACCTGGAAACACGGCTTCCAGGGCGCCTGTCCCGATAAGAGCGCCATCCTCGCCGAGTCTCAGGTCGTTCAAGAGAGCCTCCAGATACCGGGCACCGGACTCAACCTCGTCTACCATAGCTCCAGAGCCGCGGGCTACCTCTCGACCATCCAACTCCAATTGACCCCCGAGGTCATACCACCGACCCTCAATTTAATCCACCTGAGGATCACGATCGAGGGCATCCTCTTCGAGAAAACTTTCGAAGCCGATCCGGTGATTAAGGTAATAATCGACTAATTATTATAATCCTCGTGCGCGACAAAGTAGTCAAAAAGTAAACAAAGTAGTTCAAAATTCAATCAATAAACAATGTCGGGAACGCGTTCGTTGCAGTTCACCTACGCCTGGAATCGGCTCAATGTCTACCGGCAGCGCGTCTACGGCGTGACGACGGCAATGGTGAAGGTCGGCTACGAGTACAGCGACTGCAAGGACGTGATCTGGGACGTGCAGACGACCAAGCTTAGCGGCCACGACATGTCGATTTCCGAAGTGGGTGGCTGGAACCTCGACATCCACCACCGCTACAACTTTCACGAGGGCATACTGCAAAAGGGCGACGGCTCCAACATCTACCTGAAGCACAAGCCCCGTGTAATCCTAACGACGATGGGTGATGGCCACCAGAGACCTCTCGACTGCTTCGACTGCGACGGGCAGGCCTCGAAGCAGAGGCTCCTGGCGCCCGTGGCACTCGCCACTGCCTCCGACGGCTCGATTTTCGTCGGCGACTTCAATCTCGTGAGGAAGATCTTGGTCGACGGCACCGTCCGAACCATCGTGCGCCTAAAGTGAGTAGCATTCTCGAAAGCCTCGCGCTACCGTCGTGGCCGATAGCGGAGCTTTGACGGACTACTCGCGAGCCCGATTAAATACCGAATAATATATCGGAAACTTTGTTGATGCACACAGCGCCACCCGTGTCTCCTACCGCTACCACATAGCCCTGAGCCCGCTGGACGGCTCGCTTTACATCAGCGACCCGGAGTGCCATCAGATAATTCGCGTACGCAACACAACGGACTACTCGGACCCGGAACACAACTGGGAGACGGTCGTCGGCTCGGGCGAGCGCTGTCTGCCCGGCGACGAGGCTCACTGCGGCGACGGAGCCCTCGCCCGCGACGCCAAGCTCGCCTACCCCAAGGGCGTGGCCATCTCCGCTGACAACGTCCTCTATTTTGCCGACGGCACCAACATTCGCATGGTGGATAGGGACGGCATCATCACGACCATAATTGGCAATCACATGCACAAATCGCACTGGAAACCGATACCCTGCGAAGGCACCCTCAACGTCGAGGAGGTGCACCTACGCTGGCCCACGGAATTAGGTAAGCACGAGCAGGTGGAGGAGAAGGAAGAGAACGACGACGAGACACCCATGAACAATCTACCCCCGATCCCGACTATCCGAACCTCGGGCTAAATTAATTCTCGATTCCGCATTACAGCCATCAATCCCCTGGACAATTCGCTCCACATGATCGACGACCACATGGTTCTCCAGCTGGCTCCGGATGGGCGGGTGAAGGTCGTGGCCGGTCGGCCCCTCCACTGTGCCTCACCCTCCTCGACTTTCGACACGGAGCTCGCGACTCACGCGACCCTCGTTGTGCCACAGAGCGTGGCCTTCGGACCCTCGGGCGACCTCTACATTGCCGAGAGCGACTCCCAGAGGATCAATCGCGTCCGGGTAATCGGGACCGACGGCAAGATATCGGCCTACGCCGGCGCCGAGTCCAAGTGTAATTGCCTCGAGCGGGGCTGCGACTGCTTCGAAGCCGACCACTACTTGGCCTCCACCTCCAAGTTCAATACGATCTCGGCAGTCGCCGTCAGTCCCGACGGCGTCGTGCACATCGGCGATCAAGCGAATTACAGGTACTTACACTTTCACTTCCAGCTACTCAATCCGCCTGTATTTAACGTTCAACGTGCACACTTCCACCACGACGTAATAAAAGAATTTTGCACATTAACATTATTTTGTCCCTCCTCATCTTGCTCCAGAATACGCTCAGTTATGGCCAGTATCCCGGATGCGAGCGGCGCGCGCGAGTACGAGATCTACTCACCGGACACGCAGGAGATCTACGTGTTCAACAGATTCGGCCAGCACATCGCGACGAAGAACATCCTGACGGGCGAGACGATCTACTCCTTCGCCTACAACGTCAATACGAGCAACGGCAAACTGAGTACAGTGACGGACGCAGCCGGCAACAAGGTGTTCTTGCTGCGCGACTACAGCGCCCAGGTTAACTCGATCGAGAACACGAAGGGCCAAAAGTGCCGGCTACGCATGTCGCGCATGAAGCTCCTCCACGAGCTCAGCACACCCGACAATTACAACGTGACGTTCGAGTACCACGAACCGACGGGTCTCCTCAAAACGAAGCTCGACTCGACCGGGCGCAGCTACGTCTACAATTACGACGAATTTGGGCGGCTGACGAGCGCGGTAACGCCCACGGGCAAAGTCATCAGCCTGACGTTCGACCTGAGCCTGAAGGGAGCGACGGTAAGAGTGGGCCAGAACAGCAGGAAGCCCTTATCGATGCTCATCAAGGGTTCGTCGGTCGTAACGAAGATCGGCGAGGCCGAGCAGAGGACGAGCGTGATGGCCGATGGGAGCGTTGGCAGGATGACGCCCTGGTCGCACACCGTCAGCACCGACACGATGCCCTACTCGATCCTCGCGGAGATCGAGCCGCTACTCGGCGAGAGCTATCCGGTCCCGGCCAAGCAGAGGACCGAGATTGCCGGCGACCTGGCCAATCACTTTGAGTGGCGGTACTTCCTGCGTCAAGTCCAAGCCGGTAAAAACAGAGGCGGCGCGACGGCCAAAGCCATTGCCAGGGTACGTATCTTCATTATCGCTCCGATAATTAATTGATGAGCTCACAGGGTCGTAACATCGGTTCGAGCTACCCATCCACCCGCCCACGCGGGCGCACCCACCAGCGCACCCTTAACGTTAAATAAAAACTTGGTTTAATTTGTGGTCGATCAGGTTGGCAGGAAGCTGCGAGTGAACGGGGACGTTCTACTGTCGCTCGAATACGAGAGAGAATCGAACACGGTGGCGGTCTTCAAGGACGATCGCGTGGAGCTCGTGAACGTGACGTACGACAAGACGGCGCGGCCGATCAAGTGGGGACCACGCGACGGGATATTCGCCGGCGTCGAGCTCGAGTACGATCGATTCAGTAGGCTCGTCAGCTGGACGTGGGGCGACATTAGCGAGACCTACGGCTTCGATCAGGCCGGACGCCTCTACGAGATTAAATACAGCGACGGCACGTCCATGGTCTACGCATTCAAGGACATGTTCAGCAGCCTACCACTAAAGGTTACGACGCCGAGGGGTAGCGACTACCTACTGCAATACGACGAGGCCGGGGCACTCCAGTCGCTCACCACCCCAAGGGGACACATACACGCCTTCTCACTCCAGACGTCCCTCGGCTTCTACAAGTACCAGTACTACTCGCCCATGAATCGTCATCCCTACGAAATACTCTACAACGACGATGGTCAGATCCTCGCTAAGGTCTATCCCCATCAGAGCGGCAAGGTCGCTTACGTCTACGACCACAACGGCAAACTGGAGACGACTCTTGCCGGTAAGTCTTTAACGCTCGACCATCGCGATTCATCGTCCCGTTTTTCTTTCATCTCCCCCAGCCCCTCCCTATTAAGCTCGCACGTTAAAGAGTCGAGTACGGGGATTGCGAGTAGACGTCTCAGTGGTGGTGGTGGTTCCGCTGGTAAAGAGAACGAGATGAGAGAACAAACATTGTTGTTACAGGCCAATCGTCAACGCATTACACGTACCAGGAGACGACGTCCCTCGTGCGTAGCATCGATATCAACGAGCCCAACTTCGAGATGCGTGTCGAGTACAAGTACCACGCGGGCATCATTAAAGACGAGAAGATCAAGTACGGAAGCAAGAGCGGCCTTGATAATGCGCACTATCGTTACCAGTACGACGGCAACGCGCGCATATCCGGCATCGACGTCGACGTCAGCGGCAAGCAGCTACAACCCATTCGCTTAAAGTACGACCAGAATCTCGGAGTACTCGAGGGCGTGAACGACCTGCGGATCTACAGGAATTCCTTCAATCGCTCCGTAATGCAGGACTCGAGCAAGCAGTACTTCACCGTCACGGATTACGACGAGCACGGACGCGTGAAGACCATTTTAATGAACATCAGGTCGATGGACGTGTTTAGGATGGAGCTGGAGTACGACAATCGTAACCGTATCAAGATGCGCAAGCTCATGATCGGTAAGTTGTGTAAAGCGGCGACGAGGAGAGCCGGTGGGCCAACTTTTTGGCTCTTCGTATTGACTCGATAACGTTTTTGCAGGAAAAAAAAAAAAAAAAAAAAAAAAAGAATAAATAAATAAAATTAATAAAATAATTTCCTTCCCTACAGGCAAGGACTCGGTCGATAAGAAGGAATGGACGCGCATGGATAAGATCACCTACAACGCGGACGGTCACGTGCTGGAAGTCGCCGACACGGACATCTCGTGGCAATACGCGTACGACGAGAACGGCAATGTTATTGGAGTGACGGAGCGCCTGGAGAAGATCAGCCTTGGCTACGATAGCGGTGATCGCGTTGTCCAATACGGCGACGTCGAGTTCAACTCCTACGATCAGCGGGGCTTTGTTGTGATTCGCGGCGAACACAGGTATCGCTACAACACCCGGGGTCAGCTCATCCACGCGGCCGAGCATAAGCAATTCCAAATATGGTACTACTACGACGACAGGGGCCGACTCGTTGCCTGGAACGACGACCGCGACAACGTCACACAGTTCTTCTACGCGAACCCCAAGACCCCGGACCTCGTGACGCACCTCCACTTCCCCAAGAGTCAGCGAACCTTCAGGTTCCTATACGATTCGCGCGAATTCCTCATGGCCGTGGAGACGTCCGAGCAGAGATTTTACGTGGCCACGGATCAGAACGGCTCGCCCCTTGCCCTTTTCGACACCAATGGCAATCTCTATAAGGAGATGAGGCGGACACCCTTCGGCAAAATCATCAGAGACACGAATCCCGATTTCTATTTGCCGATCGACTTCCACGGCGGCCTCTTCGATCCCAACACGAAGCTCGTCTACCTTAACAAGCGGCTCTACGACCCGACCGTCGGCCAGTGGATGACGCCCGCCTGGGAGCAAATGGCCAACGAGCTCACCACTCCCACGGATATTTTCATCTACCGTTTTCGCAATAACGATCCGATCAATCTCAAGCAAAATGTCGAGTATATGACGGATCTGCCCTCGTGGCTCAAGCTATACGGCTACGACATCGAGGCGATGCTTGGCTCCGAGTATACCAAGCGGATGGTTTATCAGCCGAGCGCCACCATCACGTCGCCCCAGCTGACCCCGGACTTCGGAGTCATGAGCGGCCTCCAGTGCATCGTCGATAGGGTCCATGACAAGTTCTCGGACCTCGGCTTCGTGCCCAAGCCTCTGCTTAAGCTCGAGCCGAAGACGCGGAACCTCCTACCTCGGGTCGCCCATAGACGCGCCGTATTCGGCGAGGGCATCCTTGTCTCGCGCATCGGTGGCCGAGCTCTCGTCAGCGTCGTCGACGGCGTAAACAGCGTCGTCCAGGACGTGATGACCTCCGTGATAAACAATTCGTACTTCCTGCCGCTGCACTTCAGCGTCCATGACCAGGATGTGTTCTACTTCGTTAAGGACAACGCTCTCAAGATACGCGACGACATGGAGGAGCTTCGACGGCTCGGCAGCATGTTCAATGTCTCGACTCACGAGACGACGGAGCACGGCAGTGGGACGTACAAGGAGCTGAGGCTGCACAGTGCCGACGCCGCGGTTGTCATCAGGTACGGGGCCGACCCGGAGCAGGAGCGCCACCGCATCCTCAAGCACGCGCACAAGCGCGCGGTCGAGCGCGCCTGGGAGATCGAGAAGCAATTGGTGGCCACCGGCTTCCAAGGCAGAGGTGACTGGACCAAAGAGGAGAGGGACGAGCTCGTGAGCCGCGGTATAGTCGAGGGCTACGAGGGCGTCGACATTCACAGCGTGCACCGGTACCCCCAGCTCGCCGA